CATTCCAAATAATGCTCTGCTAATTTAGTGAAATGGCATTAGGGCTTATTACCCTTCATTTAGCCTCGAGTGTGTTTCATTCTGGTATATCGACCGGCTTGGAATTCAAAGGGCTTGTGAGACCTTGAATCTTCTTCTGTCTTCTTGTTAGAATATCAACTAGTGATTAGCACTAATTTTATACTAGCAGTAGATATGAGTAAATAAGTAACAAAGAGATGTTGACGTGTAAAACCAGAAGACAACTGACCCAATCATGAGATTGACCAAGTGTGTGACTATAGCCCTCCAGAAAAAGACGTTAGTTGCTGGTCTTGTTAGGTTCCTCCACATCCATATAATTCTGTTGCACTCTTCACAACATGTTCTGCAAATAGATTCTACGGTCAGCACATCCTGGTCCTTGATCTTAGTGGGGAGAGAGAGCGAGAGTCTATATTGTTGAAATGACTTAACTTTTAGCATCTGATGTATATATTTATGTTTAGCGCTGTCAAATATTGGTTCATCAATAACAATATGTGTCAGAGCTTGGAATTACGATTCCGACCATTTGTCTGTAACCGTGACTCTGGGTTATCTTTGTTCCAGGACCAAGATAAAGGGAACCGACGGGCAGACCACAATTTCGGACACAATAGTTATTCTTAGAGGACTTGCATCTGAAGATTAGAATGTAGCCTACTAACAGAAAAAGAAGGATCTGCTTTACAAGCATTGGCTCCTCTTGGTAGTTTTTCCCTCAATGTAAACTGTAACAGATCTATCTGTTAATCCTGTTTCTTCCATTATCAAACCTTTTTTCTGTTGTTAATTCCAAGCAATTTATTGTATAATGAATAAAATATCAATTGTCAATGGACCGAACACAACTACGCAATATGCTATGTAATGTTCGCCTTTGTATTATTACTACACACTTTACTCCATGTTTCATGCTAACAGTGTTTAATTATTTAAAATTAGAATACACATCCCCTTATTTAGTACATAATTGTCATCATCCTAAAGTAATTTTCACCCTTTACTCTCAAAGAAAATTAATATACCTACGGATTAAAGCCCAAACTTTGCCGAAGTACAGACGCTGTTAGCATATTTTGAGCAGATGGAAATCTTCGAAGAACTTATTGCAGATTGGTGAGAAAGTAATGAGAGAAGGCATTCAAGGATTGAGGAGGCAAACCAATCCTCGCATCAATGCCTCTCGAGTCATTGGATTTTGCATGAAATATGCGACTTGAGGCATTGGAGAGAGCAATGGAGACACATAGGCAGCATGACCATGAAGAAAATCAATGGTGTGCAATGGCATCCTGGTCCAATCAGAGACTAGGGTCAGTTCATTGATCGGAGGGAGACTTCCTGAGCTCCTCCATCTAATGCCTGGTTATATTCGATCACGTACTTGTCGCTGATCGAGTTCTTGGCTGCCTTTATCTTCTCCATGGTAGCTTCATGGCTTCCGTTTTCCAGTTCTTCAACTGTTAAGGCAACTGAGGCTAGCACAAACGCGTTGCCACTGAAACCTTTGGCAATTGCGGCACCATCTTGTTCCTTATGTCCACAGCAAATTGCAAGCAAACAATTGCCCCCTCCTTGCTCCTAAGGCCTTTGTCCTTGCCTAGAATGTAAAATTTCACTAACTGTAAATACATATATATAAATATATACATGAATACTGAAATGATCAATCAAATTTGAAATTATTTTACCTTCCATAAGTGAGCTGCAACGAGTTCAAAGGAAGAACATGAGAAGCTACCTCTCCTTTCACCAAAGACCTTGCTTTTTAAGCTTTCTATCATTGCACCACTCAGGTGGAATGTCCTGAGAACAAGATTTGAGTTCCCTGTATTAGGAAGGTTCCCGCTGCAATAAAAAATTTGACCAGTCATAGCCTGTTTTTCAACTGATATAGATGATCTATGGCTTCTGCCCTTGTCGCCGAGCTCCCACTTTCAGGCAATTTTGTGAACCCTGATGATTACCCACCAACAGTGAACCCTCTCATGCACAGGTTTGTAAAGCTGAGTGCTTCTCTTTTCTTTCAGAATTGCAGAATTAGAAGCCCATGCACGGAGAAAATCATAGGTGGCTGGTCCATCAAACAACGAGTGGCTTGTACCAATACCGATTGAGTAGCCTCCACACCCGAACTGGTAACCTACATCATACAATAAGTTCTTCGCAGTTGGCTAACTGAACTTATATATGTATGTCTGTTTGTGTGTAATTGGAAGCATTAAAGAAGTCATTGATTGATGATATAGTCTTACAAATTGATGAAACCCTAGATTCAAACAGGATATGTTATAGAAAATTAATATTATCACCTGAGCAACAAGCAAAGGCATGTCCGAGAAGTTCCCTTGAAAAGCAGGCTTGTAAGTCAAATACTCGAAGAATTCATTGTATTGAGAAGATCTCCAAGCTCAACGATCTTAGCACTGGTGACTGCTTCAACTAGAACTGCACCACCGTTGTTGCACCAAAGATTAGCTTACCGTCACCTTCGTTCAGCTCAACCTACCAGCAGCTGGATACCATATCGAAAGAGTCTCCTCTAACCCAGATTTCAAGCTGTTAAACACTGAATCCAGAGACAAATTTCGGTAAGCAAAAGAAGCTTTGTAAAAGAAAACAACGTACATTAACATCGGACACTGCCTGTCCAGATTGGAAAGATGGATAATCTGTTGTGGATGCAAGGATTTGGGGTGCACGGTGACGGTGACGGTCTTAGTAACCCTAACACTTGGATAATTCCCATCAACTTGTTTTCCAGTAGCGGCCATGGATTCTTTCTTTGTTACTCTCTCTCTCTGCCTTGTTGTGACAAGTAGAAGAGAAATGGTAATGACCAATTATAAAGACGAGGTAGCTTAGGTTCCAAGTAGCCAACTCTATCTGTCTTTATGGATTTATTATGATTTTTTCTGTGTTGATAAGTTCTTCAATGATATATTATAGAAATGAAGAATATGGTTTGTAAATCGTAGCCTTTGAATTAATTAATGTCTTTGCATGGTGATGGTACTGTGTATTTATGTGTCTATGAAAACACCGACTGTATTCTCTGGTTCGCACTACCAATGGGTTGACATTTGACAGTAAGTGACCCACTAACCTCCCCCAAACTCTCATAAGAACAACACATGATGCGACCTTTGTGAGCCTACCAAGAATCTAAATCATAAAAAATTAGGGTTTCTGTTATCTCTGCAGCATCCCTTTCAAAGTTTGCAGGCTTTGATTTACTCGACTGCATTACGTAACTCGGGCATTACTTACCATTTAGATTGAAGATAATGGAAAATAAAACAAAGCCCAGGATTCCCCGAATTCAGTGTGCTTTTGTTGGTTTGTTAAAGTTCAATGAGATTCGATCTGATAATTGACATTGGAGTAAGGAAGAGGTCTTCCAGAAGAACAGGTTGGCATGTTTTGTATGTCTATAACTTTGTATGTTTGTATGTAATGTATGTATGTATGAAGTATGAGTAGGAAAGCAAGAGCATGCGTGTATAAGAAGGGCAAATTTTGTTTGTTGTCTCCACTTTCCCAGCAGGTGGCCTGATTTCCAGGGTTTCTTTTCATATTCTCCCTATTCTTTTCTTCTACTTTTTCCCTCTTTCTCTCATTCATTCTTTTTCTCTTTAAAAATTTCTAATTTGTTTTCAGAAACAAATAGTATCCTCTTTCGGCAGATCACCCTGCAATTTATCCGGCCGCTCTCTTTGAATATCATAGTGTGGATACATTGAGTGTTCAAAAGACTATTCTTTTTCACCCAGTGTTTCCATTCCAGCCTTGCATAAACAGATATATATATACATGCATGCATTCATTCATGTCTACAAACCTAATAGCCAGTGGTATTAATTCAATAGTTATATCATTGTTGATGTGCCCTTGCACGGCTTCATCTGAGCTTTCTCTAAATCTTAAACAAAATATTATTAGGAGAGAGAAATTTAAATCATGAATAGGGTTGTAATAGTACCATACGGGTTAAGATTCAAGAATCATCTCATCCACATCTGCCCCACATTTCTGTGTAGGTTGAAAACATCCACGTCCATGAATTTATATAATAAAAACAATATTTATAACATAATTTTGAGATATATAATTTTTGGTATATGTAAAAGTATATAAAAGAAAAATATTAGATATCAATGATATTAGTATACATATTAAAAATATAAAATAAAAATAAAATCTTATAAAGGGATAAAAAAGAAACACTATGTTTCATGACCCAGGTCCACTTTTTATAAGAAAAACTATCTCACTCGAAGTAATTTGAAGCGAAGTCCGTAAAACGGTTCAAGTTTTATTATCTAATATCTTAAATATGGTTTAAAAACTAAATATAAATTATAGAATGAATATGGAAGATTAAAATATATATATATATATATATTAGCATTTGTCTCGTAGAGCTTCATGGGCCTAACATATTCTGTCTTGCCATAATTGAAATAAGGGATACCTTTTCTAAAAATAAAAGTTAAAAAAATCCCAGTTTCCTTTAAATAAGTAATTAGTAGCAGAAAATAAAAGATTAATTAAGAGAAGAGTGGTGGGCGAGGGAATTAAGCATGAGAAACAGAATATTCTTTTCTTTGGCATGTTTGAAAATAAATTAAAGCACCAAACCATGTTCACCACTGAATGTTATGCCTTCTTGAAAGGCCAACATTCAAACCCAAACCCCCTTTATATGAATTCAGCCCTAGTTTATTGATGAACGAATTTCGGATTTTAAATATATAAAATGTTATTTATAAAAGATCTATGCTTTCCCTTCACTTCCACTAGCCTTGGCCACTGACTCGGTCTTGGCAGTCTTTATTTCCCGTTGCATCGTCATTTCCAGAACCTTCTGGTTCAATCTGCTGCTATTTCCATTGTATCTGAGCTCAAACCTTGATCCTCCTTTTAGCTGCTATCTTTAACTGAATCAGATCCTGTTAAATCTGTATTTTCTACCATAGCCGGTTTCTCCTGTTCAGATTCTTACATCCTCCATCTCGATTTCAGTCACAACAGCAGGCTGTTGGTTAGGTGGTGAAATGGACCCTACTGCAGCAGAGTTATGTGATCCTGCATCGTGCACAGGCTGCTCTGCAGGTGAAAGAATCCGAGATACGTCCACGATAATTTCTTCCAATGAATGGAGGTTCTTCTTCAAATTGAGGCTCGACTGAACTCCAATGTGAACATTTTCCTCCAAGATCTTGCATATCTGCGACGAAAGAAAAACAAAAACTGTTGATTCCTATGAAGTTGAACAGAGAGTACAATAACATCCTCTCAGCTTCATCCTGCATGTTCAAGCCCCGTCAAACACACGACGTACCTTATTGTAGTGCAGAGGCAGTTCCAATTGATCTGTATCATGATTGCAAGCAGCTGCCGAGATTTCTTCTGATGCTGCAAAAGGATTATTATCGTCAGCAATGAAGCAAACAGGGCAACTAAGAGACCATATCGCCAATCAAAGAAATTCTTTAACCAACACAAAGAAAGCTTAAAGATAAAGGAAGAGGATAGAGACCCAGCTCTCTCTCTCTTTCATCTACCCCCCTTTCAGATTATGAACCGTGTGTAATTGTTCTTATTTATACTACTACAGATGATTCTCTGTTAATCCAGGAAGCAAACAACCTATAGTTAAAAGCAAAAAAGGAATCTCTTTCGCTCGTCTTTGTATGAAGACGATATCTGACAAATTGTGAATAGATAAATATTCTAATGCATTTATGCTTCGAGAGATTATAACTAACCGATTACTTCTATTGGCGGTAACGATCAATCTCTTGGGAAGGGATCTGTTGTCCTTGCATTTGGCATGTCGGCAACCTTTGTCCATTCTCTTGCTGTTCATTTGCTGCTTCGTTTGTTTTTCATCTCACCCTAAGAGAAAATGTAAGGATAAGAGCAAACAGTAAGTCCTCAAGTATCATCTATAAAATTCATGTAATTTCAATGTGCATGCAACAGCTAAAAGCCTGTTTTAGCAATGTAGAATATGCAAATTCATAATAGATTTAACATTGAAACATGGTGTTCATGCTACAAGAAACTAGAAGACGGTGTCTAGCTGCACCAGAACCTTTGAACAGACCAAACAGCAAAAAACCTTTGCAAAATAAGAACAAGAATTAAAATGGCTTGAATATTGGATCCAAATGTAGAATGCACCAAAAAAATTCAGGAAGTCAAATTAACCCATGATGAAAATGCATGACTGACCAGTAAATAAAATTACTTATGTACCAGAGAAACGACATGCCAAAATTCATATTCAAGAATCAAAGCTCCAAATGTAAAATCATGCCAAAAATCACTATAAATAAAACTCTTTCATCCTGCTGTTAAACAATCATTCAGAAATGATTACTTCGCAAAATTCATTAATAACTAATCATTCCAACAGTGACGAGGAAAACCTTTAAAACAAAAGATGACACTAAAAAGAGAGAATTTAATATGCTCTCATAATTAACAAAAAAATGTCTAATTATGGAATTAGTCCCTCTACTATTGCTGAAATTTGGAGTTAATCCCTCTACATTAATCGAGGTAATTTGGTATCTCTAATTGTAAGCCCATAAATGTTTGTCATTAAAGTGATGATGTGGTTAAAAAAAACTTTCAGCATTTGGATGCTTAGGTTCATATTATCATAAGACAGTATATTTCAGTATACAGGCTCTAAGTGAAAAAAATGCTGGATGAGGGCAGTTCCTCCGCCCAAACCATTCCCGTAAAGGAGCAACATATTTTTGTTATTTTTATCGTTTACTTCCTCTTCCCCCCACTGTAGGTGGATGTCATTACACGTATATGATGTAGTTTAAAAGGAAGTTAAAAAGCATAGAGCACTATAAGCCAAAGTTCCAAAGAATTGCTTAGGCCAGAACTTCTGTTAGCAGTAATTCAACTTACATAATATTCTTTCTGATACTCTGCATTGAGGCCCTTTTCCATAGAAGCACCCTTTTTTGACATATTCAACCTGCCTTCTCTGCATATCTCTATAATGATACAAAATGGAAGAATCATGGTATATTTGTGCTTGGTTTGCAGCATCAACTCCCTGGGCTACCTCACCTCCTACACCATTCCCAGAGCCATTCCCCTGAGTCTGGTTGCCTGTTGGTTCTGCATTGGTTGTATTAGAACCATTTTGAACTTGAGAACCAGCTTGACCTGCAACAGGAAGATTTATAATGGGCAGATTCAACTCTTGACAGATGACCTCTTGAATCCTCAAGTTTATCATCAACGATAGCCTGCCATCTTCCATACCCATGCCTAACAATCAAATAACAATGGAAGACAGTATTAATATAGACTGAAACTCAAATCTTGACTCACGACAGCATAACAATTGCATTAGAGTAAATAGTGCAAGACTAGACCACATCATGCATAAAACTGGTTAATACTAATGAGTAATGCCTATCATAGATTTTATGCAAATTATCACACCATAATTCATACGTATGCCCTTTATGACCCCTCTATACTAAAAGCAGAATACCAACACGCAGAAGCAACTAGCATAGGAAATATAACAAATGGGCAACAACACATAACAAAACAAATTTAGGTCCTATGATATAGATTCAATGTACATAGCATGGGCTGTACTTCTTTTTATTAAGACTACCCTATAAAACTGCATAAGAGCTGTCAATCAGACTGAAAAGCCAAAGGGTGGAGAATGTCATCCAAAGTCAATTAGATTGGAATTAGACTGGGTCGACAACATGTATGCTAGGGTTCCAACAATTTCACTAGAGTACAAAAAATGAAACACTGACTGTAAAATATGACTTTCCTCTTCAACCAGTCACTAACATTTCATTGTTAACTACAAAAATGAGAATGTAGCAGAAATGTAACTGCGGCCACATAGTGGCTGCAGAGGGTGTCCAAGAACCTCAGAGATACATACTTCAAAACAGCATGCAGTAACAACAAATCATGCTCCTCTTTCCAAAATTTTCCACCCTTTAATGTTGGGTAACGCATTACAATATCTTCGGTGAAAAGGCGGGTGTCAGGCTTTTCTGATGCATCCTTCTCCTGTTTTACAAAATATTGAATAACAAAACATATTCAATGAGTTGATTCAAAAAAGTAAGGGTATACCTTTGCCATTAGTTTCAAAGAAATAGTAACTTCCAACCTTAATCTAACTAAAATTACTTTTTTATTTTCTTTAAATCTTTTAATTGCCTAAAACACTTGCTGCAAAACACCCTTAAAATGCATTATATTGCAAATCTTATATCATGCATGAAAAATCAACATTTCTCCAAGCACATGATGTTTCACATTTGTAATTTAAAAAAAGAAAAAGGAGAATAGTCAAACTCCAAGAATCCTAAGTGGCAACACTCACCTTCTTACTTATTAAAAGCAGGATAGCTATCCTAACTAAAACATCTTGAATTCTGAGACCTTCTTTTGGAACACCATCTACAACAAAAGACTCAATGTTATATACCAAGGCAAGAAACCAAATATTGAAAGTTAAAGGAGAGGAGGATCAATCACCGGAAAATGTAGGAGAATCTGTTATATCTTCAGAGATATGTGTCAGGAAAAGAGTACCATAACTAAAAATAAGATAGAAAGAGAGAGGAATAAGTCACTATTTTGTGTGTTCATGCTCTCACACAAGCAATAAAAGAAAAGGGAGAATAAGATTTACACAAGCAAATTACAACAGAGGAAAATAGGACAAATAAGAAGAGTTGGAACTAATCATTAGAAGACAAGGAGATCGAAAAGGATTAAATGAGCAGGTTGGAATGAATTCTAACAACCACCCACTCTACAGTACACCGGACTGAAATATTCCGCATCTGCATTTTCTACAAACTCCAATCACACATATGCATAAACAGTTCTAACCCAATAGCAAAAGAATTGACTATACGCAAATATTTGGTGTTCTCAAGCTTCCAAATATGCCATAAAAGAAACATAGCATGGGAATAAGGTTGGTGCAAGCAAATTGCAATAAAGGAAACTAAGATTAATAAAATGTATAGGAATCAATCAATGGAAAAAAAATGCTTAAAGTCCACTAGTAAAATGTTTAGGAACCAATCAATAGAAGAGAAATGCTAAAAGTGCATAAATATGAATTCATCCAAACCACCCATTCTACAACACGCCTAACTGATAAGAAGTTAAAAAACTCCATAGCTGTTTTTCTATGCCCAGATCATACAAACCCAACAGAAAAAATGAACATAAAATGTCACAACCTGTTATATACTAGCTAAGACTTCAGTACAGAGTGTTTAAATCATCTAAATTATGTACAGCTCTGAAAAGAAATAAACAAATAAGGACATCACATACTCTTTTATTTCGTCATAAGTCTTCTGTTTTAAGCGAGATACAAACTCCTTCCAGTCAAAATTCCCGACCCCAAACCTGAAATAAATTACACCAGCCAAAATACCATGACGAGACTCAGAATATTATACCAATCAAAGCTTCAGTTTCTTGCAACCAGAACCGTCTAAAGTAAAAGGTTAGTAAATGACATTCACCTACACAAAGAAAGAGAGGGACGGATGAAATTCATAACCCACCAAATTGCACCCAAAACATTTTGCAGAAAGACTGACCTCATCAATATCTGTACAAATGCAGCCCTCTGACTCTGATTGAAACCGAGAACCCTGAATGATTTTCCTTCACCTTCCATTAGAGGAAGTGGCTCCGAATTATCCACTACAAAATTCGTAAGAAACCGGAAAATTGATCAAAATATAATGAACTTCTGCAATTGGAATATTAACACCTCATAGGGACAGGCAAAACATACCACGGACTCTTTTCCTGTAAGGCTTCCTCCCAGATTGATTTCCGGATACAGTATCACCTTCAGTAAGTTCAGCTTCAAAGTCCTCACCATCAAAACTTACATCTTCCAAACCAGCAAGGTCATCTTCTTCAACAGAAACCATCTGAAGAAATTCAGAGATCAGAAATGAAATCCATTCATAAAAAAAAGAGAAGAAATAAATCTGAAAAAGATAACACAAAGAAATCAGTTAAATACCACCACAACATTAAGAACCAGAACAAAACAATAACCAGGTGGAACTAAGTCATTCGAAGCCCAAGGCACTTAAACAAATCTGGCTCGATCAAATTTTATGTAATGGTGATAATAGAAATATACCTGCTTACGACTTCTCTTTCCTTTTCCCAGAGCATTAAACTCCTCAACTTTATGAACTTCATATCTGTCTCGTAACAACTCTTCCCAATAACTTGTTCTTTCAGAATTCTTCATGGTATTTTTACTTTCAACGGCCACATTTTGAGTTTCTTCCTCGGCAACAGTTTCTGTTTCCTCAATATATTCAAAATTAGCCACCTGCCACAAATAAAGGCAGTTCTTTTCTGTAAGAAACCAAAGGCCGTGACATATAGACAACAACTAGAAAGTAGTAAATCCCTGTGAGTTAACAAACTTGCAATACCATTAATACTGGATACACTGTCTCCACAGTTGGTAAAATTCTCTGTACAGCAATCTAATCATGCTTGACCAAGAAATTCAATTATCTAATGACAAGATCAGACTTGCTCAAATCCTTTTCCAATTCAGACATCATACATATTAATGTTTTAAATGTTACTCACCGAAAATGGCCAGAAAATAAATGCTACATTCCAAATATCACATCTAAAACCAAGTGTGCACCCATTTCTTATTACAACTCCATGAACAAAGAACAAACACAAGATTCATGCTTGTGCAAGCTCCTATTTTGCCATGGGAACAGATTTCATTAACCCCCCAATTCATGCAAATGACTTCACTATTGCTCTTACCAAGATATAATTTGTTAATTACAAGCAAGTGCTATAAGTAACAAAATGTTTTACTGATTCTGCAACATATCTGGACCCATGGAGATTTTTTTTTTGATAGAAGTTGGAGGTCTCATTAAAAACTCCCTTCGTATTCGTCCACATACTAAGAAGTATGTTAACGAACATTGGCAGGAAGAAAAGAGTATCTCATAGTTTATTAATAATAAGACCCAATACATAAGAAAAAACGGAATATCCTCCTATGGTGATATACACCATTACAACAAACACCTTAAACTCACATCCTCAACCAAAAACCACAATCAACAATCACCCTATTTCTAAGTTACACCTCCATCAATAGAAAAAAACAACGCAAAGAACATAACACAAGAAAACCAACACCTGCAACCATTTAAACTAAATCAAAGCCACAATTGAAGAGACGAGATCAAATGATCCCTAGGGTAGAAAAAATATAATTCCAGTGAAAGATGTTCCATCAATGTAAAATATCATAGACAGTTGGGTATCATCAAAACTGAAATCCCCACAAAGCAACCCTCAAACACAATCTACTTTCATTGCACTTAATATTCTATTGGTTGAGATATTCTGCAAAACGAAGTGCCATGCAAGGCAGACCAATGTATGTACCAGGGAAGCACTAAGATACTCTTTATCCCCAAAAATGTTTATTTTAGTGGTGCTAATTTTCGCATTTTAATGATGTGAATTTTGAGAACTCAATTAGCAATATGTATTATTATGCCATATATTTGTGATGCTTACAGTCCATTATCCAGGCCAATGTCAATGATCAACCAATAAGAAGGATGCATAGCCAATAAGATATGACTACTTATAACAAGATATTAAGGTAGAGAAAACCTTGAAGGCCTTCAAAAATCCATCATCCTCTTCATCATCCCCTGAAGCCTCTTCATCGCCAGCTTGTTCACGATCTAACAATCTATTAAAGGGGAAGAAAGCAATTAAACATATAAGTTGCAGAGGCCAGACATCAATCAAGTTGTAGGGAAAATAGAGAAAAATAGATTACCTATCAATAGCAGCATCATCATAATGAATTTGACGTGACTTTCCTGCTTCATCATTCTCATCAGTAAATAGTTCCTTTGAACCATACCGGATGATATCATCCAACTCCTCCTAAAGTAAACAACAAATAAAAACCAATTATATTTTCATCTAAATGGTTGTATTTCTTTCTTTTTGGTGAAGAAGCAAGATGAGACTGCAAAACCGTACTCTAACTCACGTCTATGAGTAAACACCAAACAACTTGCTTTCATTCAATAGAATAAGTATGAGAAATAGAAAATGCACGAAGGATTGTGTTTCAAGAAGTCAACACAATGTACTAGATTATTAACACTGCACAGACAATTAGCAAGGACAGCCCAAGAAAAATGCATTTACATCACAGTTGGGATTGCTCAAATAACAATCTCGTTTCATTTTGAGTTTCGACAGGATGTTACCATTCTCTAGCAATCGATTAAATTTGAATTCTTCAAATTAGTCTTCCAAACCCACTTCCAACATAATAATATATAAGCACACTCGATATATATACTTTATAAGTCATTGTTCTAGACCATGTAATTATTCCATCATCATGTCTATCCCACAACTCAGTTAAGTTCAAAATCTCTGTATTCACCATTATATCATAAACCTACAATACCTGATTAATATTTTGAGCTTTTAGCCTCCCAACAACAAGATGCTCCAAAACCATTTTCTTCTTAGTCATCTGCATCATCCTTTCTTCTATAGATCCTCTTGTAACGAGTCGATAAATCATCACCTATATTACAGATAATATTCATTATTGAAATATAAATCAAGTATTGACTATTTCTGAACTGTGTTCGGGGGTTACAACTAAATTTGTCTAAGAGCAGAATTTTCGGTATAAATGTTGATGAATCGTGCCTCAGAGCGTGGGCAGATTCGATTGGATGTTCAGATGGAACCTTTCCAACAGAGTATCTTGGTCTTCCCCTTGGTTTGACAAAGAATTCGGTTTCTATGTGGGAACCAGTAATCCAGAGATGTTACTCGAAATTGATAGGTTGGAAAGCAAATACTCTTTCTCTTGCAGGGAGAACAGTATTGGTGAAGTCGATTTTAAGCGCTTTGTCAATTTATTTTATGTTGTTTAGAATTCCGAATATGGTTCTAAGGGAATTGAATTCTATTCTGGCAAACTTCTTATGGGGGGTTCATCACAGAAAAATCGTATCCATTAGGTGAATTGGCAGACGGTGTGCAGACCTAAAGATCAAGGGGGTTGGGGCTCATGGATTTAAACCTTATGAATAGGGCTCTCCTGAGGAAGTGGGCATGGAACTTTGCTACAAAAAAGGAGTCTGGGTGGAAGAATTTGGTGTGTTGCAAGTATAGTTTGGATAATAGATCAATATTGACGGATAATGTGGTACCCTATAAGTCATCTTGGATGTGGAGGGGAGTTGCGAATAACTGTTGAGCGAATGATGAATTTGGTAAATGTTTTCGGAATCATTTTCAATTACGAGTCGGAAGGGGGAAGGATTTATTGTTTTGGTTTGAAAGGTAGGTTAGCAATATCCCTCTTAGAGTGAAGTTTCCGAGGCTGTTTTATCTTTCCATTAATAAAGAAGGAAAAATCTTTGATTTTGGTTTTTTTAATATAGGGGGATGGTGTTGGGATATCCAGTTTCGAAGGAATTTGTTGGATTGGGAAGTGTAGCAGTGGATGGAGTTGTTGTCGTTATTAAATAGTGTTAGGATGCATATTGATGAGGATGATCATTGTGTGTGGACGGGTAATAGGGAGGGTGTTTATTCGGCAAAATCATCCGTTAAATTAATGACAGAAGGTTCTATTGAGGATCTGGTTTGGTTGAAGATGATTTGGATTGGTTATGCTACCCCAAGAGTGGAGGAGGTTTTGCATAAAAAATTGGTTGTTAAATCTGAATTAATCAAGCGTGATGTTAGTGGGATAGAGAACATTTTATGCCCTCTTTGTGGTAAGTACCAAGAGACGGTTTCGCACTTGTTCTTTTCTTGTTCTATTGCATGGGGCATATGGGTAAGGTTCTTAAGTTTTTGGAATCTATCTACAATTCTTCCAGTGGATCCTAATGTTTTTTTATCTTCTTGGGGAAGTCTAGCTCCAAAAATATACTATTTGGATCTTCATTCCGGGAGCTGTCTTGTGGTCAGTATGGAAGTGTCGAAACCAAGTGGTTTTCGAGAATGGATGTATAGATCGGCGAAATTCCCTAATTTTCCAGTTCTCTTAGATTGTCTTGTTGGTGATCCGAAGTTGGTTGATGCAAGAAATCCGTCCATGAAGATTAATCTGTTAAAGGTCTTGTGGTGTCCCCCGCCCTCGGGTTTCTTCAAAATTAATGTGGATTTTGAGATATATCTATTTATGTAAGGAAAAAAAAAGTCTAGACCTAAAAGAGAGAGACGATAAGGAAAAAAAAAGTCCAGCTATTTTATAATAATGGTGAGAGAGAGTGTCTTAGGAGGTCCGTCCTCTGGCGAGGATTGGACGGTGTTTGCAGATAATCTTAGCAAGAGAGTCACTTGGAGAACATTAAAGGATATTTTTAGTCAACAGGGTAGTGTTATGAGAGTTTACACCCCGAATAGGTCTAATAAGCCAAATTATAGAGATCGTACGTTTGCGTTCGTTCAGTTTGCGAAGGAGGATGAAATGAAGAAGGCGATTGAGAATGTTAATGGTATTTGGATTGATAGGAAGAAAGTTTCGGTATGTGTAGCTAAATATCGGAGGCAGAAGCACATGCAAGTAGTTGGAAGAAAGTCCAGAAAAGATGAAGATAAGTTGAGTGAGGGAGCGAACTGGAGGAGTAGAGTTGGATCTCAGTCTTTCAGTCGTTTGAGGGATGAAAGGTCTTATAAGGATGCTTTAGTCTCGTCTGATGGGATGAGGAAAGGTCCGGTGGAGGAAAAGATTAGAGTGGGTCACCCTTGTAAAGATGCTGTAATGAGAAATCTTTGGGAGATGCATATTCCCTCAGATGAATGGGATTGGGTGAAGAGATCATTGACTGGGATTATCAAACCACACTTTGATTTGGAGTTAGTGTTGAAGGGATTGGCAAGCGATGGGATCAAGGTTAAGGGAGCTAAGTGGGGTTATGCGTGGAACTCTTGCATATTAACCTTTGATTCGGTGGAAGATTTTAAAGAGGCGTGGTCGAGCAGATTAGAGGAATTATCCTTCTGGTTTGATTGGATTGATTCTCTTGTGAATGATGATGGGGTACCGATGGCGTTTTGTTCGGTTGAGTTAGTTGGAATCCCCTTATTATGTTGGAATGTCTCTTTTATGGAGAAACTTGTCTCAAGGTGGGGGAAGCTAGTCTGTATCAACGATTCGACGGGTGCAAAGAGACGACATGGCGGTGGCAAAGGCCTTGCTGAGGGTGGCCAGTCCCTTTGATGTACAGAAGTCTGTTATTGTGGGCTCGTATGGGAGATCTTTTAAGGTCAAAATTAATGTGGGGTCGGTCTATATAAAACAGAAAAGTTTCTCGGTAGGAAACTCAACGGTGGCCGGCGAGGATATGTTCAGAGATGATGAAGTTTCAGAGGAGAAAGAAGACAGGTGCTCTGATGGGGTTGGTAGACCAGACTTGCCAGCTGTGGATACTAGGGACAGTGTTGACAGATGGTTAGTAGGGGATGTGAGTACAGTTGTATCAGGCGGCAAAGGGGGTCAGAATTTAATGTGGCAGGAGGGAGAAGGTCAACATAGTGGACTAAAGATGTCAGACTGTCCAGCAGAGTATTTGAATTTGAGAGGGAATTATCAGGGTATTGGGATTAGGTGTAATTTTTCCAATGAAAGTGATAAAGCCCAATCAGAGGACTTGAGTGAGCCCATTAGACTATCAACTGCTGGGCCAATTGTCATTTTAAATCGATTGGGCTGTGGTAGACTTATAGAATCTCGGGTGGAGGAACTAGGAGACTCACAGAAAAAGGTGATGGACGAATCAAATAGGCAGGATCAGGATATAGCTTCGTCTGAATCCAACTCAAATTTGCTTGTTGGTGGAATTAACGTCAGTCTACAGGCTAAGTTTACAAATGAGGATATGGTAGAGGAAAGATTAATTCGGGGGGAAGGAAGTTGGTAGTGCAGAAGGAACAGAGGTGGAAAGGGTTGAAATTCCAATGCTATTGGCTGGTAATCCGGGGCGGAGTATCAAGAAGGAGTCCATTTCTTATGGTTTAAAAAGAGGTTTTCTTAAGAACAAGATGTTAAGGATTGCTCCAACTTGGTCTGGTAGTTCTTGTTCGGAGGGTGAAGTTTCATTTTGTTTCCATGATCGAATTTATGAAAGATTAGATAGAGGTCTGGATAGGGAAAATATGGATCAAAACAGTGATAATTCTGTGTCCCCGCACAAATCTGTCGAAGCAAGATTGGAAGCTGCTGCTACTAGGGATGTGTGTGATATGTTGGGAATCTCTTTCAAAGGGGGTAATCATGTTTTGGAAGAGGAGAACTTGAAGATTGAGCTAAAAGGGCCTCTTAGAAGCTCTTGACTGATTTTACAGGATGGTAAAGGTTTGGTGCTATTGTTAATTATGTCACAAATCAAATTGATTTCATGGAACGTCAGGGGGCTTGGTAGAAAGGAAAAATCAAGAGCAGTTGCAAGATTAGTTTCAAAAATCAAACCGATGATTATGTTTCTTCAGGAAACTAAGTTGAATAAATGCCAAAAGGGATTGTTGAGGAAGTTAGGGGGTAACTTCTTGAAAGGTTTTAGTTTTCAGCCGGCTACTGGTTCTGCAGGGGGCTTAATATGTTTGTGGAATGAAAATATGTTTGAAGTAAGCAGGGATTTTAAACACAATAGATTCATTGCGTTATCAGGAAAGGTTAAGAGTCTCAACTTTGATTGTGTTGTTATTAATGTGTATGAACCGTCGGTTAAGGCTGATAAAGAGGAATTTTTAAGAGAGCTGATGTGTTTTATACAACAGCTTGATTTGCCTGTATGCCTAGGAGGGGATTTCAACGCTTATCTTGATCCCGAGGAGAATATTGGAGTTGCTCAGAATTGGCATTCAGTGGAGTTATTCTCCAACTTTGTCCTAAATTTAAACCTTATAGATCTACCTTTAGTTGGAGGGAGATTTACTTGGTGCAATAATAGAGAAGCTCCCACGTGGATTAGATTAGATCGTTTTCTATTAAGTGGTGCATTTTTTCAGGTATTTCCAAAAGTTATCCAGAAAGTGTTGCCAAAATCTTTATCTGATCATAATCCTATACTACTTGAAGAAGATCTCAAAAATTGGGGCCCCAAACCTTTCCGGTTTTTTAACTACTTACTAGAGGAGGATGGGTTTAATGGGGTGGTTCAAAATGCTGTGCATGATCTAAAAAGGGAGAATGCCCGAAGGGGTATGCTGAGTATTCTTCAAGGAACAAAGAAAGCGATTAAAATGTGGCCAAATAGTAACAATATGGGAATTTCAGAACAAATATATCAGAGCTGGAAAACAGGATAAATAACTTGGAATTAAAGTCTCAGGGTAGGGGAATTTCTGCACAAGAATGGGGTCAACTATTATCTTGGAGGAATGATTTGTGGAGTTTGCATAGGAAGGAGAGTATTTGGTTCCAAAAATCACGTCTTAAATGGATTAAAGAAGGGGATAGAAATACCAGATTCTATCACATATGTGCTCTTAATAAGAATAGAATGAATGCTATTTCGTCTTTGAAAGTGGTTGGGATAGATATCTCTGATCCTACTCTGATTAGATCAGCTATCTTTGATTTTTTTAAAGTCAATTACAATGAGAAAACTTCTCTGGAGGTGGATGAATGTAATCTGAATTTCGCAAAATTGACAGAGGAACAAAAGACTGGGTTAGAGGCTGATTTTTATGAACAGGAAGTGTGGGATGCTGTCTTTAAGTCGGACAGTGCTAAGACACCTGGTCCAGATGGGTTTACAATGGGTTTTTTAAAAAAAAATTGGACTATATTAAAGGACCAGATCATGCAGTTTGTTCAAGATTTTCACAGAGGGAAAAAATGGGAAAAAGGAGTGAATCATTCCTTTATTACTTTAATTCCCAAGAAGGTGAATCCTCAAGGAATTGAGGATTTCAGACCTATTAGTCTTGTTGGCAGTCTTTACAAGATTATTTCTAAAGTACTCTCCAAAAGACTTGTCTCTGTTATTAATGGTTTAGTAAGCCCTTCACAGTTCGCATTTATTCCGGGTAGACAATTGCTAGATTGTGCTCTTTTGGCAAATGAAGCCATTGAATATTGGATAAAACTAGGGAGAAAAGGAGTTGTCTTTAAAGCTGATTTCCGTAGGGCCTATGATTCGGTTGAGTGGCCTATCTTATTCAGAATTTTGAAGGTTATGGGTTTTGGGGAAAAATGGATCTCATGGATTAAATGTTTGTGTTTCTTCTGCCTCTATTTCGGTGTTAGTTAATGGTTCACCTACTGAGGAATTCAATATTAGCAAAGGGCTGAGACAAGGGTGCAGTCTATCCCCTCTCCTGTTCAATTTAGTGGGGGAATTATTAAATCTTATGTTGATTAAGGCTGTTAATATAGGTTTGTTTCAAGGGTTCAGTATTGGTAGGGTTGGTAATTCCTTTCAGTTGTCACACCTATAGTTTGCAGATGATTTAATCCTTTTTTGCAGAGATACTACAATGCAAATTCTAAATATTAGGAGAGTATTGAGGGTTTTCGGTGCTATGTCTGGGTTACACTTAAACTTGTCCAAGTGTTCATTATTTGGGGTTAATATGGAAGCTGACAGAGTTAAAGATTGGGCTATGAAAGCGAGTTGCGGAGTGGGGTCTTTTCCAATGTCTTATCTTGGTTTACCGATTGGAACTAGGAAAAATTCAGAGGGTATGTAGGAACCGATTGTCCAGAATTTTAATAAGAGATTAGCTGGGTGGAAAGCTAAATCGCTGTCGCTGGCGGGCAGACTTGTTTTGGTTAAATCCGTATTATCATCCTTGCCAATCTTTTTCTATCTATTTTCAAGATCCCTCTAAAAGTGACTCAGAAGTTGAATTCGTTGATGGCTAGCTTCCTTTGAGGTGAAGATCTTGATAAAAAACGAATTCACTGGGTGAATTGGAAATCGGTTAGTAAACCAATCGAAGAGGGTGGTCTGGGAATTCTCGACTTAAGGTTGATTAATAGGGTCCTACATGGGAAATGGGTTTGGAAATTTGCTAATGAAAAATATAGTGTGTGGAAGAATATGATTTGTTGCAAAAACAACGTTAGCAGTATGTCTCTTTCAATTTCAAATGCGGCTTCACCTTTAGACTCTTGGATATGGAGAGGTATCCTCAGTAACTATGCTAAGAATGATCAGATTGGTGATTGTTTGAGACAGAATTCAAAGATGAATTTGGGAAATGGTCGGTCGATTGTTTTTTTGAGTGATGTTTGGATTACTAATCTGCCTTTAAAAAACCATTTCCCCAGAATATTTGCTTTGTCGACGAATAAATGGGGGATGATTTCTGAGTTTGGGGAGTATGAAGATGATGTTTGGGTTTGGAACATTCAACTTAGAAGAAATTTGTGTGATTGGGAATTGTACCAGTGGATTGCTTTAATGTCATTGATCGACAAAATTTCGCTGGAACGATCTGTGGATGACTTCATGGGATGGTCAGGAAAGGGGGATGACGTGTTTTCGGTCAAATCCTGTAGACAGTCGTTACAGGGTAGGTCGGAAGAGAGTTATGAGTGGAAGAAGTGGGTTTGGGATGGATTGGCACATCCTAGAGTACAAACTTTTCTATGGCAGATCTGTCATCAAAAATTAGCAATTAGAGTGGAATTGAAGAAAAAAGGGATTCAGATTTCGGATGTTTTGTCCATTATGTCTTTCTCAGGATGAGTCTATTGCACCTATTCCTATCGTGCACTGTTGCCTCGGATTTATGGAGCAAATTCCTAAGGTTATGGAATATCTCTTCGGTGTTGCCTCAAGACCCTTCTGCTATTTTGTGCTCGTGGTCGAACCTATGTCATAATTCACTTATTTGGAGGTTTATTCCGGCTGTCATCTTCTGGTCTATTTGGAAGGCAAGAAATTTGGTTGTTTTTGAAAACGGCAAGTGTGACTCTAATGTTCTGTTCTTTATCACTAAATTTAGATTGGCGAAATGGTTCTTAGCTAAATACCCTGGGGTTCGGATTAAGACCGACCTTCTAATAAGGGATCCTACGCGGGCTGATAAACTCCTCCATAGTACGATTACTAAGAAGGTTATTGGCTGGACTCCTCCACCATCGGATATGTTCAAACTTAATGTTGATGGGGCAGTGACTGGAGATGGGATGCAGGGTGGTATTGGTGGTATTTTGAGAGACTCCTTTAGTTGCTCTTTAGCTAATTTTTCTTCTGCAGTAGGGTCGGGTCACCCTATAGTGACTGAACTGAAAGCTATTAAGAATGGATTGGTTTTTTTCTTTTCTTCCAATTGGGCTAACAAGGGTAGACTTATTTTGGAAAGTGATAGCAAATGTGCAGTGGAATAGATTTTAAAACTACAACCTGCTCCTACTTTTTTCAGTGATTTGGTGGAGGAAATTGGAGTTCTTGTTACTGCTAAGGGCGTCGTTCTTAGATGGGTTCCTAGGAGTTGCAATATGGAAGCCGACAGGTTAGCTAAGCAGGGGATCGGTTGAGTGTTGCAGGCTTTCTGTTGAGTCTGATGACCTAGCTGAGGATGGGTTAGGCTAAGGGGTCTTTGTTTCCCAACGCTATTTGTATTAATGTCCTGTTTTATTATCGAGGGTTAGAGTGTTATGTATATCTTATGTTATTCAGGGCTAGAATGTATTGTGTATTTTATGTAATTCTGGTCTATTAATAAATTGAGGTACTCTTTTCCTCCCTCAATTAGTTGCCACTTTTCAAGAGTCAACTATGAGGAAGGTTTTTAATGAGACCTCCTATTCCTATAAAAAAAATGTGGATTTTGAGAAATGAAGAAAACAAGATTCTGGGTTCTTTTTCGGAACCTACAAGTCCTAGTCCTCCTATGCTAGATGAATTGAAGGCCATTCAAACTGGTTTAACTTTGTTTGTGGAATCAGAATGGTGTGGTAAGGGTCGGTTAATCATAGAGACGGATTCAGAAATCGCAGTCAAGTGGATTAAGAATCCCGAAGTATGTCCTAATGTGTTTTCACAGCTGGTTAAAGAAATTGTTAGTTTTGTATTGGAATATAGGGTTAATATAAAGTCTGTAAGAAGGATTGTAAATTGGGAAGCTGACGGTTTAGCTAAGTCAGATATAGGGTAATTGTTTAGTATTTTTTGTTTGGATGGTGTGTTTGTAGGGTGGGTTGAGATTAAGTGGGTTGTGTTTTGTAAGAGTCTGTTGATGTATGTGGTGTATTTTCTTTATGGAATAAAATTTTTAGGCACTCTTTTCCTCCTTCCGATGTCCGTTGAGGTACTTATGTACAGCGACGTATGAGGTGTATTTTCTTTATGGAATAAAATTTTTAGGCACTCTTTTCCTCCTTCCAATGTCCGCTGAGGTACTTATGTACAGTGACGAGTATGAAGGGGGTTTTTAATGAGGCCTAATTTCTTATAAAAAAAAACTTTACCTTGTTTGTTTGTCCAAGTCGATGAGCTCTAGCCATTGCTTGTAAATCAGCATGGGGATTCCAATCACTGTAGAGCATGACATATATTGCAACTCTCTCAGCAAGACTAAGTGAATCAAAAATAACTATTATGACAAGAAACATTTTCATCTTGTAGAACTTGAGGTACAAGCAGAAAAGGGAAAACAAAAAAAAATGCAAAGAAAATATAAGTCAATTGTTCAACCTATCATATATGATAACTGTATCGGCAGTTGCAAGATTTATACCCAAGCCGCCAGCTCTAGTGGAAAGCAAAAAACAAAACCGGGATGAATTTTTGGCATTAAACCGGTCTATCCGTATTTGCCTTTCAGCTCCCCCAACCTTTCCATCTATACGTTCATATTGCCAGTTCTGAAAAATAAATAAGGAGCAACAACAAAATTAGTACAATTTCTCCACATGTCTGTGAACTAACCATTTCAGTATACAAACTCCATGCTAAAGCAAAGGATGTAAACAAGATCAGTATCATGTTAACACCTTGAAAGTGCAGTAATCCTCTAGTAAGTCCAACATGTGCTGGAACTGTGAATATATCAGAACTCTATGTCCCTGTTCTTTAAGCTTTACCATCATCTTGTCCAACAGTTGCAATTTCCCAGAAGATTCTAGGAGCTGTCTGTAAAGCCACAAAGAAAAGGTAGAAGTCAAAACTATAGGCATCAATAGATCATTACATAATCTTAGATGACTAAAAGTCTAAAATAGATGTATAAAGTACATATGAATACTTTCAGTGGCAGGTCAAGATAGGCAATTCTCATCATTGTAAACAAATGCTAATAAATCAGCAGAAAAGTACACATATAACTTACTTGTAAGCTTCATTTGCATCTTCGATATCTGGTTCAACCCCTTCCAACATATAAGGATGACAGCATAGTTTTCGCAACTCCATACCACATTGATTAGATATCTAGCCCAGGGAAAAATATACATCAACTAAGTAGTAGCACACCCTTCCATGTTAATACAGTCGTGGAGAGATAGATGAAGCTTGTTTCAAAACAAGTGAACTTACTTGTGCACCACCACGTCGGGTAAGTATTTGATAGTTACGAGTTAAAATCGCCTTGTAATATTCTTTCTGCTTGCTACTTAAATCAACGCGCAAAATAAGTTCCTTCTTGGGTGGAAGATCCTTCATGACATCCTTCTTTACCCCTGCATTCATAAATAATTTGCACCAAGTTTTTTCAGCAAGACCATATGATGAACCAGTAAATACACAAAATACGGATCAAGGAACCATAGGATATAGCTTTAGCAAGCCTGAAGAAATATAAATATTACATTAGTTCCAATAAATCCAAAGCCCGCTAAATCACAAGAAAGAGGAAACCGAAAGCAAATGTGTTTTGCGATGCCTTGCAGGAATAGGTTCTCAATGGCAAACAAGTGTGCATAGGAATGGGGGGTTGGGGGGAGTGATCAAAGCCACTACCAGTTAGACAACATTTTGTTCATAATAAGAAGTAACTAAATGAGTATGATCCTGTCTGGAAAGGTTTAAGAGAGATACTTCTAAGGAGATGTGGGGCCAACATTTTATGAAGTCTTGAAATCTGCTCTTCCTGATTGATATCCTTAAATTCCTCCTGGAACTCCTCTAAACTTCCAAACTGCAAGTGAACAAAATAAAACCTTGTAGAATCTTCCTTCAACCATTCTTGAATAACAAACCATATTCCACAGAACTAACATGATACTAACCTTTCCAGCATCAAGGAAATGCATTAGCATGAAAAGTTCATCAAGATTGTTCTAAAACAAAACAAATAGCTGCGAGTAAGAGATAGATCATAATATTACAAGCACATACACATGAATGAATGTAAATTACACAACCCATAAACATTTAAGTATCTTACTACATAAAAATTTAGTATTCTGAGGCAAAAATAGATAACAAACTAGAAAAATAAAATATTAAGATCAGCAACCAGACAGACACAACCAGAACTAGATTTGGTAGCTTTCTTACATCACCGGGAAAAAATTGATCACCCCTATAAACAAAGACAAAGTAATCTAGACACTTCTAGAGATGAACTTTTATTCCTAAACAAGCTTCCACTTCACTTGAATACAAACACAACACATGGGATGAATATTTTTAAGTATATAGGTTACAGCCAGCTCTTAAAGAAAGTGACACATTCTTCTCGACTTATTTCTCAACATCAATCTCAAATTTTGAATATTCCTCTCAGATAAAAGGTTCAATGGCTTTTTAGGTGAAAGGGTGGTCAAAAGAATAAAAGAGTAAATAATGAGAGACTTGGAAATCAAACATTCATCTTGAGACATCAGAAAGAAAGTACATCAGAAAACATGGGATGGAAAGAACAACATGCAACATAATTTATGCCATTGCTGGAGAGCATTTTCATAGTTCATTAAAAAAACATGGCAAAGTGTCATCCAAATTAAGGTATCTGAAATTTTAATGATATCTGCCATCTGGGGTAATTTGCACTATTTCCAATGCCATATCAAAAACAAATAATATACCTGAAGAGGAGTTCCAGTCAAAAGAGTGCGGTGGTACGTGGTATACTGCTTCAGCGAAAGAAACAACTTTGAATCCTTATTCTTGAGCCGATGACCTTCATCAACAATCTACGCGTTGATACAAGCATTAGCAAAATCACTTATGAACTATTAAACAGACTCAATGAGTAACAAAATTTTACCATGCACTCCCACTTTATTGGCTTCAATGACGCTGTGTCCAAGTTAATCATTTCATATGATGTTAACAGGACATCAAATTTTATTCTATCTTGCTTGCTTTCACTAATAATTTGACCATATTTCTTTTTCTTGATCTTCTTATGACTTTTGGGATGGTAAAATTCATATTGCCTTATAATTGCACGAGCTTGGGAAGAGCCAACATACATAATCTGCACATGTGTATCCTCAATTAAAATAGCATATATTGGTAATCAGAAGTAATAACTGGGTACTGCTCATGTACATACAACATTCATTTGGGGAGCCCATGTAGCAAACTCCCTTTCCCAGTTCCGTAATGTTGAAAGAGGTGCAACTACCAAATGAGGACCAACATTCTCTTCAAAAAGTGAAGTTAAAAATGCAATGCTCTGGATGGTTTTACCTGTAACCGAACAAAAGTAAAGCATTAGCAACCCCATCAAGATATAAACTACTAAAAACTTCTTCAAAAGCAACCTCTCCTCAAACAGGACTTACCAAGACCCATCTCATCAGCAAGAATTACATGTGTTTGTTTGGACCAAGAAAAACGCAAGAAGTTCAACCCTTCAAGTTGGTAAGGGTGCAGCGAGCCTAGAACTCCATTAAAATGCTGTTAGCTATTGATAATGACCAAATTATGCATGAGCATACTCAAACAAGTTCCAGATTGAAGTTGAAAAAAATCAGAATGTACCTCCAGAAAGAAATTCAGGACTATATTCATATTGTTGAAATTCCTTTAACTTCTTCTTGGACTCAACAGCATCTTGAAGGCTGCTTTTTTGCTTACTACCATAAGATTTACGAGATCTAGATTGTATTTTATTATATCTTTCGATTTCAGGTTGAAATGCAGATATGTCTGGTTCAAACTCCCAATAACACTCATCATAGGGAAGTTCTTTATACTTCACAAGGTACTCCTTCTCACCATCATCATCTCCCCTGAAGAATTAAGTATGAATATCAGAATTCTACATCAGCTACTGAACCAGCAACCAATTTTAAAAACAGCACATAAAAAAACAATCCAGATTTTTTTTTGATAAGAAGTGGAGGCCTCGTTAAAAGTCTAAAGTGAGAATAATAATTGTATACCTGCATATACCAAATTTAACATGATGATATTAGTAATTTTAAATTAATGATGTCATTTATACCCCCTCACCAATAATAAAAAAATACAAAATATGATCACAAACAAAAAACAAAACCAAAAGAGAGAGACAAAGAAGCTACGCCAGCAGAAAACTTCCAAAGTGAAACAATATCCAAATCAAAATTGAGGACATGTGACCTAGATATGCACGTGTTTGTATGGATATAACAATGATTGACGTAAGAAAGTTATAATCAGGTGAACCTGCGAGCAAGAATACGATCAACTGTAGTCCATTCAGGTCTAATGGCGACAAAGTCATCCTCAGAGCTATTGGTTGATGCCATTTGTCGATGGAAATTGTTCACCTTAGTCCTTAAACGAGGATTGGACTTGAAAGCTTTTAAGAATTCTTTCTCAGGTACCCTAACACGTCCAAGCAGATATGTAGTCAATATCTGCCAATAAAATATCATAACACAATAGTCGAAAAATTACCAAGTACAATGCAAATATGATAATCCTTTCCACTTCACGAGATACTGCTTTACAAATATCTGCTTTGAACCCAGCTTGGAAGCATCATTATCATCAGCCACAGTAGGACGCATTTCACAATCCAATATCTTTTCAATCTCACTCAGAGGGCCAACCTGCAAGAGCGAAAAGGTAAATCTCAGCTGCTGTAAACTATCAAAGTCATCTAATAGATGTGTACACTAAATCACGAAGTACTACTGAATCATACACATTCGGGGCATCTCCAGTGGTCAGGAAGCGGAGAAGCTTTTAACGGAGGAAGTAAACATTTTGGGTGGTATGAATAAGAACATGTTGCGCAACTCAAGAGATCCTCACTCTCTCCACAGGCTTGGCATGAGTTTTCTTTCTGTGATTTTAATCATTCAAAAGTAGTAAATTGAAAGTAAAACTACATTTATCAAGAACCAAACAAAACATCTGATGTCTAAATTAATAATAAAAACACAAAACCAAAGGATATAACATGCCAACATTGCTCTCCACAATTGACTTTCAGCATTTCACAACATGAAGACTGCTATATAAAGATTAAATGTGATAAAAGGAAAGGAAGAATAGGCATCTTATTTAGAGATAATGTTGTTTATGGGAAACACAGAAACAATATTACAGAAGAATAAGAGAAAACAGACCACATCAGTTCTGACTATCCTTTCCAACTTCTGCTCGGTTTTACCAGATTTTCCAGATGCAAAATCGGCATCATCATCTGATTCATCCAAATTATAAACTGGTTTTTGTTCTGATCTAATCCGAAGTCTCTCAACCAAGCTACTCATCTTCTGCAACAAAGACATAAAAATTGTATTTTAAATACTTTAAAGTACCAAGAATAGTGTTCACCTATACAACTTGTGAATATAAGGATTAAATTTGAACAGTAAACTAGGAAAGCAAGATAAATTAAAAAAATATTAAAACCAGTAGTTACTAACTGCATAAAAGGGAATGGATATAGCATTCAAGTCTACTGTGAAACTAAAGAGAGCCTGCTTAAATGTCAAACAAGGAAAGGGGGCTTTTTTTATGTCTATCACTGTAAGAAAAAAGTGTGCTAACTGCTATGTCAAATGTAACTTGCCCAAAAAAATCTACAGTGCTTTCTATTACCTAGTACTAAACTGCAAGGCTTAACTGTACCTAGGTGCACGCATTAACACTGGTACAAAGTGCAATATGTAAGAGAAGGTGATATGATAACGAAAATACACAATTTTGGTAATGAATTAAACAACATGGATTGTGTAGAATATTGTTACTTTAGATCTACTTCTGTAAACAATTTTCATTTTTCACAATTCAACGTGAACAAAAAGACCTCACAGAAACTTTCATATAAACCATGAAACAGTAAGCAAGATGAAATTGGGAAAAAGAATAATACCCCCCAACCCACCACAGGCACACAAAGAAAAGAACCACAAATTAACCTAAAATGGTCATTCATGTCACTTGTCTCTTCATGTAAATTTGGCATACACATGGAGCAAAATGATGCAGAGACCAGAATCTTAAGTATATCAACCCTCAACGGATCATGATTGCATAAGCTTATGAAATGAACAGAGCCGTGCAGTTAACAGTGAATGATAAACTACTCTAACAAATGGAACTTTCTGCTACAAACACTACGGGAAGATGAGGGAAAGTTCAAAAAAGAAGGGTCCTTCAGATCAGGGCAAAACACCACAGGAGTTAATGAAATAACCATTCCGTTTAATCTGAAAGTGACAAGTCACCTCCAAGCCTCATTGGATTAATGACGCTGTAAACAATCCCAGAACAAAAATTAAATTGGCAGTACAGGAAAGGAAAACATGCACTCTGACAACATTCAACTGTTGAGAAAGGCGTACCTAAATCTTGAATTTTGATCAAAATATCCAATCAGATATTGCATAAGCTTATGAAATGAACAGAGCCGTGCAGTTAACAGTGAATGATAACTACTCTAACAAATGGAACTTTCTGCTACAAACACTACGGGAAGATGAGGGAAAGTTCAAAAAAGAAGGGTCCTTCAGATCAGGGCAAAACACCACAGGAGTTAATGAAATATCCATTCCGTTTAATCTGAAAGTGACAAGTCACCTCCAAGCCTCATTGGATTAATGACGCTGTAAACAATCCCAGAACAAAAATTAAATTGGCAGTACAGGAAAGGAAAACATGCACTCTGACAACATTCAACTGTTGAGAAAGGCGTACCTAAATCTTGATTTTTGATCAAAATATCCAATCAGATAACAAACAGAATCATCTAAAAGGATATGATTGAAAATCACCCTAAGCTCTCAGACTTGATGGCTTGATGCAAAAGACGTGTCAACTCGCATATAAGGGATTCATATCTTAATGTAAAAGTGGTTCATAACTATCAATCAAATTTCACCCCGAGCACAATAAAGACGGGCATACACTCACATATTCACGTGATTCTAAAAAAATAAGAATCATATTAGAAAGGCTAATTATCAACCCTAAAACTGAACTTTCTAGCTACTTTATCAGAGAGCGTCAGAAAATCTGTACAGGGATACATCGTAAACAAAGAGAATTACCGAGAACTAAGGGATCTGAATTCGTTCCAAGTACGATGAAGTTGAGTCAAAGCCGAGAACCGTTGTTTCAGCGGGATGGCGAAAAGACGGGGATAAAAAAAGATTCGCGAAAAAGGGAAAAAAACCGAAGATGTGAAAAGAAAATCACATGGACCTGCCAATTTTTTTAATTTTTTAGGGGAATTTGAAGTGACGCAATTACCATGAAGATATTGATGACATGGATGATTCGGGAGGGTAATATTGTCCTTTTGGTTTTAATTTACAGACTGGATAATTCATTCAAACTCGGTGAATGCTAGGATGAACTACTTTATTCTTTTCTGTAATGACGAGCAACAAGTTGTTTCGGGTATTATGGTCTTTTCACTTGATTTTATTAATGATGCAATACTTAGTTTTAGTGGATTCAATAACATGTATATTAAACTATCAATAAAATCAATCCTAACCAATATTTTTATGCACTAACTAATGAATTCTTATATATGTCTAAATTGATATATTTTAAGATCATGAACAAAGCATGGACGGCACTGTAAGCAGTGATGGACAGAGGGAAGATGATCAGGAACTATCGTCTTTCTTGAAAATTTTAAACTTTTATAAATTTCTATTAATAATATGTTTTTCTCATAAAATATTATAAATTCATCTCGTCTAAAATATTATAAGTTCACCTCATAAAACCAGTCTTCTCTAAATGTAAGAGAAGGGTACAATCTGAAGATTGTGTAAAGCGTCGTATAATGATATGATTAAAGGATTAATAATGATATGGACTGAATTGTAAAGTTAATGAAGTTCAAAGGACCGAATCGGTGTTGAAGGCACAATTGTAAAGCAAAACGCACAAAGGTGCGCCAGGGCAATTGAACCTGAATTTAGATGCGCAAGCAATCGAAAGATCCCTCAAATATATTATCTATAAACATTATTGAATTATGACAGTTTAGATTTCCAATCTTTGAATGCTATAGATTTGTAAAGCCAACAAAATTTATTTTCAACTTAACCAACATCTGGATCGTTAGCCTCACAATTTTACCCCCAGAATTGGGGTTCAAATACTAGAAAAACATGTCACATGAACACGCAACCGGGGACCGCGATTTGCAGGAACACCTTCCCGATCGAGGCGTTGCAACATTACCCTTTCCTTGCATGTATGCTTCAATTTGCCTAACCTACTGTATCAAATGTGGCAAAGCCCTTTTATTGCACGAATCATGAAGCATTCCGATCTGGAATAGACCTTTGAGCTTCTTCTAATCTGTGTTTGCATGATGCATATACAGATCCGGTAGAGGATTAGGCATGTTTTGATTCACTTAACATACTAGAATCAGTGCCTGTGCAACAAAGCCTTGTAAGCAACCCTACATCTGAAAGTATCACACAAGTTCGAGTATTCTAGCACTCTACTTAATCACATCTCAAGTTCCAAGGATGGGCATCAAGGTTTTGTCAGAGAGCATCTAACAATATATACATTCTTCATAACAATGTATGTAAATATTGTACAATGGTGTGTTGCACCATATCTGAACTCGTATGCAGGAACACAAGCTCATCCATCAGCCCACCATAACGCCGCATTAATTTTGATTCCTAAATCTCCAGAAACAAGCAATCTCCAATTGTGGAAGATACACTTCCTCCAAGTTTTTCATATCTATGGAGAGATGACAAGCAAGTTTCTTATGCTCATACTGAAATAATAGGATCAAGACCCCCAACAATTTCAAAGCAGGGTTACTGTATTCTTCAAACGCATTCCAACCGGCAATGGAAATAATTATACCAAAACCGAAAATAATTAAGCTGCCATAATGCTGTTATGAGAACTTCTAGTGTTACAATGATCTTAAATGAAATAATCACATGATCAACTGCAAGAATATTAGGAATGGGCAAAAATAAATACAAACAAATTGTAATACTGATAATTGCCATCCAGCCATGAAAAATAGACAAGTAAATAAGATGCAAAAGACTATAATTATTATTGAAAAGATAGAAACACTAACTTCATAATTTACACTGGACTTCAACTGGAGATCCAGTTAAGGTATCAGTTACAATGCAAGCAAAGGAGAAAAGTCACAGCTAAATCAACAATCCCTTTTTGTCAATGTATACAAAGAAAATCAGAACTCTCAAACTCAAGTAGTCTACATCCATCAACATTTTTTCTTCTAATTAGTCTGTCCATTCTGGACACCTAGGCCATACAACACACCTGCATATTTCTCCGTGGAGCCGTTGAAAAAGTTATCTCTCAACTTCCTAAACGTACAAGATGTCAGCAAGCTATCCGAGCCGGCTTGATGACACACACCAACTCTTTCCACTTCCAACAACTCGGCAAGCTTGTTCAAGCCACCGTGAAGGCTGTTGCAAAACTTCATCATATGCTTGATATCATATACCACAGGGAAATATATATTGATCAGATCAAAGAACCCGGCTTGACTATCAGGCAAACTCTTGCAAGTCAAAAGCTTAAGCAAATACCCGAAGTCATATCCACTATGAAAGGTGACCCAGCTCACGTTATCATTCAGCACAACCCCGGACGACATCAAAAGCTCACCGAACCGCATCACATCGATACCCCTCTCATTATTCTTCATGAAATCAATCCCACACTGGCGCAACAACTCGATCGAATCGCTGGCGAAGATGTCTTCGCTTAAATTAAACTCACGGAAATTGAATTGCCAAATGCAAGGGTTTTCAGTTCCACAAGTGGGAAGATTCCCGTGCTCATCAGAAAAAGTGAGACCCAGCTGGATCAGTTTCAACATATCCACATTATCTTTCAAAGTTTGGTAGTTAAAATCATTTATATTCTTGAAAGTTCCCACGGGGCGCAAAACCACACCCGGGAACTCGGTATCCATAGCCACATAATTGTATTTATCAACAATTTCACGGATCAAAGCAAACTCTTCTTCTAGATTATCGTTCCAAACTTCCCGAATATGAACTGAATCAACTTTGGGCAAATCCGACATTTCCAGTAGAACAAATCAAAGCGATAAACAATACCAAACCCAGATACGTGAACAAAACATAAGCAATATCCAAAAATCCCAAACCTCAAAAAGTTGAGGGCTTTAAAGCTGAGGTCCACAAAACGGTACAGTTTTCGATGTCGCAAGTAGATCTGAAAAACAAAGACAAAGAAAAGTAAAGCAAAAAAGACAGTCAGATGATTTGAACTTGGGTGTCCAAAATGAAAACCTATAAACAAGGAACGGGAGAAAGGGAAATGAAATGGAAGGAGAAGAGATCTGACCTTTGATCTGTGAAATCGGGCCTCGTAAATAACAGATCTCAGATGATTGTCAATGATGATTGAGGCGTAAATTTGATATTTTTTCGGTCAAAGAATCAAGAGGAGTGGGGAAATGAGCGGAAACGCGGACGAGGTCCGAATCATTGCGGTGTGCGTTCTTAAAGACTCCAAAGGGCAGTGGTTACAAGGGCCACGAAAACGTGTCACCGCCTCTATGGCCCAAGACGCGCACCAGGGTCAGTATAATATCTGTTCTCGGCCCACTATAACTTTATCCTTCTATTTTGATTTTTAAACAATAAATAATGGTCTAAATCTAGTTTTAGTCCCTTTATTATGATGAAAAATTTAGGATTTAATTAATCTTCCTTTTTAATGTTGTTATTTAATTCATATTGATAACAAAACTAGTTGTTACTATTAACAAATAGAATAAACACTCAGTTGAAATGAAGTTTTATAATCATTTAATCATGTATGATTAAATTTTTACGTGATTTTAATTGTATGATCGAATGACAATAAAAGTATATATATATGATATTAGTTTAATGATAGAAACTAGCAATGTTATTAATTTGGACCTATTAAAAACATTATAAAAGTAAAGGGATTGAAGTATGGCAAATTGAAGTAAAAGGATTAAGGCATAGTAAAGGGACTAAATTCATAATTAGGCCAAAACGAATTGATAAAATGCTAACACTTGTCCTGGCGAAATATCGTGTTTAGAATTTTAATTTCATTAACGTTAAAGCATACACAAGGATGAAGAGAATAGAAAAAGAGATGTATACTTAATCAAATAACTGTTCATAGATCGTGCTTCCCACTTCTTCATACACAATTATTATACACTTTATCAATCATTACTATGCTCCCTATTCATAGATCGTGCTGCCAACTTATACACGCACGAATATCTGTATATTTATCTAATTTTTTCTAAAAAAAATAATTACCATCATTGTACTATTTTCTCTCAAAATATTTGTATATAGTCAATGGCGAAACAATGCCAATGGTATTTGTTTTAATCCCATTAGTAGATTATTAGCTATCATTATCCTTTGGTTGCTGCACATGAAACATTGGTATGATGTATTACGCTAGTTGGATTTTGAACAGGGATTCGCCATTGTCGAGCCGAGAATGGTTAAGGTAAATCCCTGTCGTCAAATGCACTTTGATCTCGAACGGTAAGAAGGCAAGGTCTGTACCACCTCAACGAACATCTTATTGGCGTTGCCAATGTCGATTTCAATATGAAGCAATAAAATCTTTTAAACCTCGAATAATAGTGCATTCAACTCGACAATCAAATGTGCTAAAAAGGGACTAAATGAGCTAAAAAGCACATACCAAGGTTAAACCAGTGGGCTAACACACAGGCCTAAGAAATGTTTTTCTCCCTAATCTTGCAACCCAACAGTGGACAGTTGCTTGCAAATCACTTCTGAAGATCTCCAATGTAGAAATCGTCTATCATGCCAAAAACCCGAGTTGCATGTTGTGGCCTATTGCATTCCACAGAAAAGAAGAAAATACCAAGTAAGCAATGGATGTATACCCAAAAAAAACCTTAATTATGTGCAAGTATGACAAACTTTGATGGATGTTTTCGATGTTGAACGGACAATTTATGCATTAACTATCTAGTCTTACATAAGAGCCAAGCCTACGTAAAACAAGACTGCAGCCAATCAATTCTAGAGAAGACAAACCGAAAGAGGCAATATGAAGTTTTCAAAATTTTCCATGCGATTCCAAACAAGGAACGAATGTATACCCAAAAAACCCTTCTGTTGAATCATCTCCGGCATGTGCCAAGATTGCATCACCACCTGGGTGTTCCTCTACATATGAGGTAACATCATAAACCTGCAATCGTTAGATATAACCATAATCGAGATATGTTAGTATGGCAAGGAGTTCTGAGTTCCAAAACCAGCAACATGCCAAAATCACCAATTACCTTGTCCTTAAGGATGACCCAACAATCTGTCCTCTTATTATGTAGCATAACTTCTGATTTACTATAGGATTTGAATGCCTAAGAGGAGAAAAATGGTATTTCAAAAGATCTCGGAATTGATTAGCATGCCTCCGTATTAATAACACAGCTAAGCGTACAAGAAATACTATCAAATGTATCACTTCTAACTTGGAATTCATAGTCTTTTGGCTATAAAAGCACAACATACGAGATTTGAACTCTGAAAAACTGCAAAAAAGGGAAATTGAATTTCAAAGTTCCCCAAGATCCATATATGTACCTTAGGATCATCGACAGTTGATTTAACCTTGTTCTTATGGGCTGCAATGAAACAAATTTGCACCAACAGGAAACAACATGCATGATTAATTTTAGTTAATTTTTTACTTGCTATGTAAAGAAACTGTATAACACGAACACGAGCATCTTGAATTCTACCTGATTTACCATGTCGAGGTATCAAAACAAAAGCTCCAAGTAATACAGCTAGAATCAATGCTATAAAAGCTATTTCCATATCTCAGAGTTAAGCTTCTTTTTACTGATTAACCTACAATTATCCAAGTAGCAATTCAAGGGGAGAATGAGAAAAGATAATCTGAGATTAAAACTAACTCAAAAAGTTTTAAGCAAACAATTCATCACTAATTGGACGATTCAAAGCATGTCCCTAAGCATTTATTTTATACACACACTGCTTAATTGGAATTTACATCCTTTTATCATCTATGACAAGCCACCCGAGTATTTGGTATGATTGGCGATCACAACATTAGAGATGTTCAAAAATAGAACACAAACTAAATACTCTGTTGTCTATTTTGCACGATGATTGTCAAGCTCAAGAATAGGACTTGTTTTGTAATGTCTTAGTTGTTATTGTCTTGTAATGTCTTAGTTCTTATTTTCGATTCTATCACAGGTCTAACTCTGTCATGTGTGTAGACGTACTTCCCAAGTTCGTTTCTATTGGGTAGCTGAAAAATGCTGAGATTCCCGCTACACCAAATGAAAGAAAATATAAATACAACCAAACCCAGATCTATGAACAAATCATAAGCGCATTCAAATCTCAAAACATGAAAACTGAAGCTTGATGCTGAATTTGCAGAAAAGGATTTCTTCACGATGTCGTAAGCAGATCCGGAAATGAAGAGAGAAAAAGGCAAAAACATATTATTTGGACTTGGAAAGGAAAAAAGATCTAACCGTGAAAGCCTTATGAGTGACCGCGAAGGAGTACACAGTGGCTGAGAAAGGAGAGTGACCAAGTCACCAAGGCAATATATTTTGGATTGGAAATGGCTTCTACACTTCGTACTGTACTCTTATTGCAAATAATAAATCTTCCTAAAACGAGTCTCCAAATAGAATTTAAAAATAAATTTATTTAATTTAATCCTACACCCATAAAAGGACTACACATTTCGTAGATTTTCGATGGTTCTTTTATATATTTTCATAATATTTAAAATATTTCGTAAGATCAATCATTGTGTATAATTTTATTAGCACCTCACCTCGTCAAATATTATATGATTATAAATAATAACGGATCTACAAAATAGATATGTAAATTTTTTTATATTTTCTTCTTCTTTCGATATATTAAATTATATTTAATAATTTATTTAAAATAATATGTATGTACTTGACTCTAAAAAAAATCAAGTGCATCCGACCCTAATTACGAATATATTATTTAAACACATTTTAATATGTAAAACTTATAATTAGAGATCAAATTAAATAAGAAGTGAGAGAGGATTATTAACAACCAAATTGAGACAAGTAAAAGTAATCTGAGTTGTCGGGTCATCTTGAGATGATATATTTTATCTTGTTGCTCCTATTGCCTGGTCATGGGGAGAATTTTGTTTTTACATTTTTCAGTCGATGTCTTCGTTGGGATATTTTTTTTCTTTATCCAGCCCGCTGAATTTGGTTAAAGTCCAATGAATGTTTGGGCTAAGTATTTTTTCTGAACACTTACTTAAAACTCTTCCAGCCCCGTTTGTTAATGGCGTGGTTGGTCACCTTTATGCTAGTAAGCTTAATTTATTATTTTCGTATTAATTTAATTTTTAAATTTATTTAATTGTATCATTATATATCATATCCCTAACTTAAAACCCTAAATCATAACCTCTAAATCCTAAATCTTAAACCCTAACTTAAAACAATAAATTTAGAGTTTTAAGTCAGGTGTACGGTATAGAATGATACAATTGAACAACTTCAAGTGTTAAATTGATGCGAAAATATAATAGGGGTAAAAATAATAAACTGAGTTTATTATAGGGGTAAAAGTTACCCTTTCGCTTAATATTTATTATTTTTTTAATATTAATTGTAATTAGACTTTTAAATTTTAATTAATGCAATCAAAACTATTTAATAATACTTAATCAAGATGAAATAATGGATCATTGTTATTCCCTTTTCTTTAGCTTTGAAGCATCTATGTAAATGATATTTAAGGTGGCAATGATTTCTATGCTCTACTCTACATGCACATAATATTATATTAAAAGTATAAATTTATAAAATTTTAGGATATAATAAATTTATAAAATTTTAAGTGAGTGAATATAAAAATTTAATAATAAATACATGAAAAATAAAATATATAGTAATTTTAAACTTTGATAAAGACGCTATCCCCTCTTAATTCATCCCTTACTTTACCCACATGAATTCTGACACACCATTTGCATCTCCATTACCACCTTTTCTCAATATGTACTCACTATTCATGCATATATTATAGTTATGATGATAATATTTATGCAGATTCGGAGCCTAACCGGTTGACTTACTGTGCCATCCCAACAAAGTTTGGGTGTCGAGTGCCCACCTATGTACTGTACTCCTCCAATAAAGTTAAGCAATCAGCTTTTGCCCTTCCCACATATTCATATGCGGTCATACTCAAATTATATTACTTTTAACATGTTCTTCTTTTGATAGCTAAATGTCACGAACTTGGGCTGCGATTAAGTCCGTGACATATAGCTAGCCTTTGTGGCTATGGCCGCAATCCGTACTTGTTCCCCACTAGAGTGGTCTTCGTCATTGAAAATGGTTTCTCCTTTGTTCCCAAGTTGATAAATACAAAATGATACACCGTCAATTTTATTAATTTCAAGGGAAATTGTGTGTTTAGGAGCTCGTTTTTCATTTGCTGAAATTTTCCTTTTACTTTTTTTTATTAGAGATTCTTTATGTTTCACCGGAAAAAAGTTTAGAGCTGGAAATAAATTATATCGGTTCATGTCATTAGTCTGAAATTATCGGTATCAAGATATTAATGTTTGACTCTTCATTTGTATAATAAACTTTTAGTTTTCCTTTTCTTTCCTTCCTTTTATATGTTTTCCATAAGTTTTGAAATATTAAAATTTATTGAGTGATTTCCGTGGCTAAAAAAATATTGTTTTCCTTGAAGCTTTTAACTCGAGTAGTTATATATGTATAATGTATGTATGTTGTCAATAAATTAAAAAATATATTATAAATATATATTACCTTATAATTACTTTAGATTATTAAAAAATGTTTTGACATATTATTATTTCATATTTGTTTAGTTATTATTTCTTTTTTCTAATAAAAAATATGAATGATTTTTTTTTTGTAGTTCGTTCTTTGTTTATTCTTATAACGTGTATTATGTTTTATTCGGAGTTGAATTTGATGTTATCTCTTCAATTGATATTTATTTAGTTATTTTAATGATCTATCGTTGCTTTGGATCTTAGACTAGTTCTCTTTTATTAATAGATGATGGTTTGTTAATGTGTTGTCGTTATTATATGCATTTTAGGTTAGTACCAATGGTGTTTATCTTTCATCACTAATAGTGCCGTTGATTTGTATCTTATTATCATATTTTTTTCGAGTTGTTTGGTTGGATTTTTAAATTTTTTTATTATATGATCTTATTTATTTTACTTTTAATGACTAATTTATGAAGTATATTAATTTAGAAAAAACTATTTTTATAATTTAATATCATTTACTCTAAATTTATAAATTTATAAATATATATATATATATATATTTCTTATTATTTATTTTAATAAAATTTATTATGATTATTAGTTTAGAAAATAAAATAAAAATAAATTGTTTTTCTTTTTCACTATTATTAGCGGTTTTTGTGGTTTGGTTCACTTTATAATGAGTCAATTTTTACTGCAACGTGAAATGTTACGTATCGAGCGGACGAAAGTCGTCATATGGTTCATGAAGCTGGCGATTGTGACCTTTCTTTTGTCCTCCCCCCCCCCCCCCAAACACCACAGAGTTAATTGCTCTTAGTGCTGAATATTTGTTGATGATCCAATCCTTACAATGCCTTACTTTTCTTACGTCAACAGCTCCACTTTCTTAGCCCTCCATCTTATATCCAATAAAAAGAAAACTATTTTTTAAAAGACCTCAAGAATCTGAGGTGGATATCACATATAGTATGTTAGGATTATAACCCATATGATCAGGCCTAGATGTTATGGTTGAATTGTGAAAATTACATTGATCAAGAAAGTGATCCAAAATTTAATTCAAAATAATTTACTAGATATTAAATCAAAATTACAAAAAAAGTATACAATTACTATCACTTCATCGAAAAATATTTCATCAAAATATAATTTAAATCCGAGACTCCGATCATCGAGATGTCAATCGCTAATATCCTGAAATATTTGAAATGGAGAAATAAAGAGAGAGAGGTATAGAGCTCAATGAAGTCAAAATGTGCGGATAAATGAAAAACAATCAACGAGCATAATCACAATTCGAGTCATAATATTCATGGTACGAATAAATATGCAAATGTAATGCGCCCATACACCGCACACTGTCCGAAGAGTATGTTCACCAAAACCACTCTAACTACAACAAAACATCTGAAGTGGGGTTTGTCACAAAGGCAGAGGCCACTGAATTCGAAGTGAAATTTACCCCTTCGGATGAATACACTGAACTTCCGCTATCAATATCAACCCCATGTGTAAGGCATCAAAATATACATATATAAATTCTGATATGATCTGAATGTAAAAACATTTACATAAATTTCAAAAATCTGAATACACAACATAAATTCCAAGCCGATATATAACACGTGTCACATAACATATTTATCCAAATTAAATTTTAATACAATAATATCAAAAAACAGTCATGCTTAAATACAATTTTCAACAAGTCAAACAATTATCACATAACAATTTAGCACTAGATAGAGACACACAAATATTCAAATACATCATCACGACATCAACCATAATTTATTTATTTCAGATTCAACATAAAAACTATTAAATAGAATTAAAACTATTGTAACACGGTAAGACACACACCTTAAATCGTATAAAGATAAATATACTAACAAACAAAAACTTTTATGGTCTAAATCTTGAATCGAAGATTTAGTGAAGAAAGGTCACGCGATCTTAGAAAAGCTAACTAAATTAATAGTCGTAGAATTTGAAACAAAACAATGAGGGAGATAATGCATTTGTTCTCTCTTTATTTTGTGGCAATATATAGGCTTTAGAAAAAAATACTTTATAAATTATCAGAT